GTGTTTCAACTTCCCCCGTAGTGTTACATCTGGTAATCCAACCATCCAGATAAATGATACAACGGATCAAAATATGGTGCAGCCGCACAGAGCAGTCTGAAAGGGAAAACTGCGCGCTGAATGCATTTCACGGAGAATGCGTCAGCACCGAGGAGATACTTGTCTCCCGCTAGCTATGTTTGCTAATTGCTCACCACAAAGAACCTCAAACACAAAGGTAAGGGAGAACGGGATCCTTACTAGCCAGGCAAACAAAAAGCAGAGGAAATTTAAATTGGGCAATTTTGGCCCAATTTTATTACCTTGAAGATGCATAAAACAAAATATTCTAGACCTTTATGTAGCCTCAAAAGAAGTAATAACTAGATATCTAAACAGATAAAGTCTTTTACTGTACAGCCTACAAAGGCACACATTTGTACATGTGGATTACATTAACAGACACGAAAGCAGGTTCCAAGTTATTTGGTAACGATGTTGTGAGAAATTCTTATCGATGCATCGTCCCTGGGAATGAAGCCAACCGGCATTCAAAAGGCTGCAGCACACCAAGAGCAGTGGCCATCGCTTTAGGATAACAGTAGATAATTTTGGTTTATGGGGTCAATACCCAGAGGACTATTGCCTAAGCAACCACCATCAATGGCGGGTCAGTTTGAAGTAATCGTTGTTCTAATGGGCTACGACGCTCAATTCCTTCAAACAACTAGTGTTTTAAATAGCCCTTCACTGAGTCATTACCTGCTGCGTAAAATGTTGCCCGTCTTGGCCCTGTGGCTAATTGCGCAAAAGTCCTAAATTACATCCCAATGGTCCCGGGCTTCAAGGCATGCTATCGCGGTCTAAGGTAGTCAAATGCATTCAAAAGGCGTCGTGTAGTGCAAGCTTTTTTGGACGAGCAACGCCAAATACACCTTACCACCTCACCATCACCAGGCTTGAAGAGCAACAATAATGCTAACTTACAGCAGCCAGTAAATAACTTGTTGGTGGACAATATCCGCTTGTAGTGAGAAATTAAACCAGTCACTAAACACGCTTTCCTTCAATCGGTAACCATAGGGTAATGCTGATTTCCTTAAATGGATGCGTTTCTACTTCCTGAGAAGCTTGCACCTAGCATGAGTAGAACAATTTGTTTTTCGCACACTGAAATTATGTGATGTATTTGAAGAGTTTTAATTAGATAATATCGCCCATTCTTTTTCCTGTCCCTGTCAACAGTCACCTGTATCCAGTGGAGATTGCCGTGTGATATTCAGTGATGGAAACCTGGTGGAAGTGAATGAAAATGATACTGGCGAGCAGGAAGATGTCACTGGTATCAAACCCAAAGAAAGGAGGTAAAAACTCAAGGACTGGACGTTTATATATGCCGAATTACGACATGGAACTTCTGGTCGTGTGCAGTATAGATTGCAGCTGTGCGCAATTCAAGTCTTTCTACTGGACGTCAACATGGTTGGCTGGCGGCATCCGGTTTCGGATTTGCCTGTCACTGTGGCAAGCCACAGGACGCCTGCGCCTACAGAGGGACTATGGATGGCTTGCGCTGCACCACCCACAGCTCCAACCACACACCCCATATCCAGTGTAAACCCGAAGGAATAAGACCGGGAGGCATGCGGATGGGAACCACGTTTCATCAACGGAGCCGGCCCACACTCCTTCACAGGCAAACACAAGCACACTGTATTTGGGAATCAAGCGCACACAAGGCGGTGGCTGGACCGTAGTCCGCTCCATACTGAGTGCATGGAACCACTCTTCGAGCCTAACACGGCCACAAGGACCGTGCACCCTGTCCCCTCCAGCAACGACCAACTGTCTCCTGGAGCCAGTATGAACGAGGTAGTGGGTAATAGACAGGTAGGCACCTTGTCAACATGCACATCAAGCGCAGCCACACCGGGCATATCAAACAACAGCCAATCACTTGAGAGAGAGAGAGAGAAAGAAAAAGAGAGAAAAACTCGATTAATGCATAAGGAAACGTTGACATAAACCTTAATTAAATAGCATACGTAATACGTTGTTTACAAACACATCCTAGCTAAGTGCACGAGGTCAGGAAGTATAGTTCACGGTATGCCACGAACACAAAAATGTTATGGAAATCGAATACAACTGGCTAAAGCGATATGTGCAAGTTATTGGAATAGAGTACAGGGAGATATTTACATGAGAAAGAAAAGCATTAAGGTAAAAACTGTAAACCCACCACCTGAAATAAAGAGACTTAGCATGCAAGCACGCGGTTAGTAAATCGAATTCAGCGTGCCTACAAACGCTGCGCCGGCTCGTCGTAATTCTCTGCAGGACCCATCGTCGCTTCTGTAGTGGCCCCAAAGGACCTAGCTCATGGCCCACTAGACATTTATATGAGAAAGAAAGGCATTAGGAGAGAACCGAAAACCCACCACCTGAAATAAAGAGACTTAGCATGCAAGCACGCGGTTAGTAAATCGAATTCAGCGTGCCTACAAACGCTGCGCCGGTGCTGCCTACGTTCACTGCGGGACCCGTCGTCGCTTCGGCAGTGGTCCCGAGTGACCTCTCTCATGGCTCACTAGGCCTGCCTGACTAAGGCACTCGCGACCGCATGTTCTACAGCACAATGCGCTCGATGTCGATGGAGTACAATTCATCGGTGCTTGCCGCTTCCGCACTTGCCGCTTCTTCTCTGCATGCATGAGGGCTTTCTCCCGCACTTCAGCAACTGCCTTCGTGATTAGATCGCGCCATGCACCACGATCAACCGCCTTTGATTCCCATGATCTGCAATCAAGATTAGGACGTGTGAGGCTCACTTTAATCATGTCCTGGTAACGTAACTTGGGTTTCCCAGCATGCCGCTTCCCTATACTCAGCTGACCGTATAAAAGTTGTTTCGGTATTCGCGTCGAATCCATACGGCTCACATGACCGAGCCATCTCAGGTGTCGCAGTAAAAGTATGCCGTCCACTGCATACATCCCACTTCGGCGCAACACTTCCGTGTCTGCAACTCTGGCGCCCCAGCCGATCCGCAAAATTCGTCGCACACACTGCTGATGGAACCGCTCGAGATATCGCACATCCCGCCGGTACATCGTCCACGTTTCACTGCCGTATAGAAGAACGGACAGTACCATGGATTTGTACACCATCAGCTTCGTGCCAATGCTAAGCTGATGGTTGTTCCACACTCGGTACTCTAGCTTCCCGAATGCCGCTGCCGCCTTCGACACGCGATTACGCAACTCAACGTGTAGCTGCTGATCAGTCGACATCACACTCCCAAGGTAGCAGAAGCGGGAGGTGGTTTCCAATACTTCAGCACCGATGCTGATTCGCGGCAATATTGAAGATTGCACCTCCGGTGAAGGCTGAAAGAGACAGACAGTTTTGCTTGTGTTGATGGTGAGCCCGAATTTGGCCGCTGTCGAAGCCAGAGCACTAGTCATGTGCTGCGTAAATAAGAGCGAGGGCGGGTGGCCGCGGGCGGGGGACGCAGCGAGTGCGTCGACGGCGGCGAGCCAAGTAGGGAGCGGAGAAGGGGGGGCCGCGAGGGCCAGGAGGGGAGGGGGAAAGGCCGAGGGGCAGGTCCCGGACATTCCGCGTGAGGGCAGTTGAGGGGGGGGGGGACGAAGCGGCGGGGCGGGGTGCAGGCCTGGACGTCCCGCGAGGGCGGCGCGAGGCAGGTAGGCGCGCTGCCGGCGGACGTGGAACGGGGTTGTGCGGTGGGCTGCCAGAGGTAGGAGGGCAGTCATTAGGGAGCTGCCGTGGGTCCGTGACGCCGAGCCGGTTGGTTGGTGAGCAGGGGGAGACCGGGTCAAGGATCGGCGGGCCTGGGAGCGGCGGAGCGGGAGACGGGGGCGACAACTGCGGGCGAGAGGCGGAGGTGCAGGCGGAGCCGGGTTGATTCTAGTTAGACCTAACCAATCGTTTCAAGCCGCGATGTAGGCCGCGTTGGGCGACGGGGGCTCTCGTGGGGAGCGACGGGTTAGGGCGAATCAGGGACGGAGGGGCGCGCCAGGCAGACCGTAGCAGGCGGGGCGGCGTGTGCGCGCTGCGCGGTGGAGGGGGCTGGTAGGGAAGGGCTGCGGCCAGGCGGGGCCGGGCGGTGGTGAGCGCAGGAGGGAGTGGGTGGCACGTTAGGGTAGCCTTTGAGGGCGCGAGAGTAGGGCGAAGGCGAGCCGGGACCAGGATTCACGAGCGAGGAGGGAGAACGGGTTCCGGGGCGGTGGGAGAGGGTGGGGGCGAGGTGGGGGTTTAGGGGGGGGGGCAAGGGCGGACAGTGGAGTGTGTGGATTGCGGTGGCCGGAGGCACGGCGATCGCGGCAGAAAGGGGTGGAGGGCCAAGGCAGGAGAGAGGAGGTAGATTAGGCGGAGGAGGCGGGGGGAAGGGGGCGAGGACGCGGGAGGTGGCGGGGCGTATTAGGGGAAATGGCCCGCCAGGGGCGGGGGGGGGGGAGCCACTGCTTCTTGGGTTGATTGCTCGGGGGGGGGTGTTGCGGAGAGGCCGCACCGGCGGAGACTGGGGTGGGCGTTTGCGGGGCGGCGACGCGTGGAGGCGGGGCCGCGGCCCAGGGTTTGCTACCCGGGCGTCGTGGGGAGTGCTGCGGGGGGGTGGGCCTTAGTGGCGCGTCGTCGGGGGACCTGCGCGGGCCCAAGGGCGGGGTCTCGCGGCTAGCCTGGAAGGCGGCGTGCGGTGGTGCGCAGCCCTGGGAGTGGCGCGTGACGGGGGGGGCGACGGCGAGGAGAGTCGACCCCCATGTGGAGGATGGGGGCGCCGACCGCGCGTGGCGCGAGCGTTATGGCATGTCGCGGGGCCGGCGCGGCGGTGGGTAAACCGGGGGTAGTCACCCGGAGGCAGTCGGCGGCGGCGGAGGTATCCGCCGGGTGTGCAATTTAGGGCCGTGTAACGCCGGCGATCGACACGGGAGTGGTGGGCCGAGCACTGCCGCGCTGCGCGAGGGCCGCATGGGCGCAGGGTGTGGGTCCCGGCGCCCCCCAGCTCAGAGGCCGTTGGGGGAACGGAGGGCGCCCGGGGGGTAGGCCGGTGCTAACGCCGGGAGCTGCCGATGGGCAGAAGGGTAGGGGGTGCGTGCCGAGCGGCTCTGGGCCCGAGAAGCGCCTTGGAGAGTAAGTGGGCTCGCTCCAGTGAGGCGCGGGGTCGGGGAGAACAGGGGAGGGGGGGAGGAGCGGCCAGAGGGCCGCCATGTCGGGCGCGAGCCGAGTTTGGAGAGGGTAACAGGGCCGGGGGTGCCAGCGTCCGGGACGTGCGGGGCGGGGGGGACGGGCGGAGGGGCCGGGACGCGGAGACCCCGGCTGTGCGACGCGCTGCGCTGTGGGGGCCGGACGCGTGGGGGGGGGGAGGGGGGGAGCCGCCCCGCCGCGAAGGGAGCCCGGAGGGAGAAGGGAGGAGGCAGGCGGGATGGTCGGTCGCGGGGCCGGGCTAGCGAGGGGCGCGCGGGGGGAGGGCGGGTCGGGCCACTGTGCAGGGCCGGAAAGGGGGTGGAGGGATGGAGGCCCAGGTGTGGAGGGTCGGTGAAACAGTTGGGTGGGCCGGCAGTCGAGCGCCGGTCGGACGGGGGGCGGCCGTGGCCGAGGGGGAGGCGGGCTGGCTGGGGCGGAGGGGCGCGGGGGCGGCCCGAGCAAGGCCGTTCAGCAGGCGGGGCAGTGAGGAGGCGTTGGGGCGGGCGGAGGCGGGGTAGCGACGCAGGGACGCGGGGCGTAGGGGGCTGGACGCCGCTAAGGCGGGGGCCTGAGAGGTGCGGCGCAGGCACCCTGACGCGGCGGGGAGCAGGGGCGACCTGGTTGAGATGTGAGGGGGAAGAGGGGGGCGGCGGTTGCGCCCCGGCCCGGGAGGGCGGCAGGGGCCGCGAGGCGGGGGGCCGGAGGGCGTGCCAGGCGAATAGGGGGAGCGCCGAGGGCGATCCAAGGGGGCCACGCGTCTGGCGCGCAGGGAACTTGTGGGGTAAGTTGAGGGAAGGGACGGTTTGGCTGGGCGCACGTTGTGGTACGGAGCGAGGTGGTGGTTCCCGGCGGGTGTCGGTGGTTGCCGTCAGTGTGTCTCGTGCGGCCGGACTGTGAGCAGTGCTCGCGGCTTGGGTGTCGGCTGTGGGCGTGCCGCGCCGCGGCGAGCCTGCTCGGGCGGGACCGGTATTGCGATCGGCGCCAGCGAGACTCCAACGCCGGGGGGGGGGCGTGTGGGCCCCGCGCGGCGGGGGGTCCCGCGGTAAAGCCGGGGGGCGTGGTGGTTAGAGCAGCCGGCTCGGAACGCAGCACGTGAACGCACGAGACGGTGGGGAGGTGTCTGAGTCCGCCGAGGGCGGGCGATCTTCCCGGGGGGCCCGCACAACGCCGACTCTCGGGGCGGGGGCACGGAAGCGTGGGGGGCAAGCGGGGAGAGGGGGTGCGTGGGGGCGTCGGGGAGGGCAGGCGAGGTAGCCGCGAGCCCGCGGGAGCGGGCTGGAGGCCAGGGGGCCGTCCAGGGGGCGGAAGGGGGGGTGAATGGGAGGTGCGAGCGGGGGGGGAAAGCGGTGGCGCGACGTTGCCGGGCTTCGAGGCCGGGGGGCCGGCTGCGGGAAGAGGTAGTCAGAGTGAACGTGGGGGAAGAGCGGGCCGGGGTGGGACCGGGGAGAAGGGAGGTGTTGCAAGGGGCGAGGGGGGGGGGGGGCGTGCGTTAGGGGGGGGACGGAGATGGTTGGGGAGAGTGCGGGTGCCAGGGGCCGTTGCGCGAGGGGCTGAAGATGTGCCGGAACAGGCGGGGGGGGGGGGGGTGGGGGGGTGAGGCGGAGGTGCAGCGGGAGCGGGAGGGGGAGAAGGGGGGTGTGGGGGGGCAGCGGGAGGGGGGCCGTCAGGAGTGCATGGCGCGTGGGCGCGAAGCGCGGCGAAGTGGGCGACCCCGGGGACGGGTCGCCCAAGGACGAGCGGCTGGGTGGGGGGGAGGGGAACTGGGAGCTGAGCTAAGGGCGTGGACGCCCGCGCGGCCGCAGTGGAGCGCGAGGACGAGGTCGCTCAGAGGTGGAGAGGTGGGGGGGACGGTGGGCTGTGGATGCGTAACCGGGGACGGCAGCGGGCGGGGGGAGGGCGTAAGCAGCGGGGGGAGGAGCCGGGCACCAAGGGTGGGGTACGCAGGGCGCGGTCTGCGCCGGGACGCCTGGGCACGCGGAGGGCTGCTGAGGGGAGCGGGGTGGTGTGAGGCGGCTGCCACGAGGGTCGCGGTGTTGGCCTGGGTCGCGGGGCAAGGTAGCGACGTACGAGGGGTCGAATCGGCGGGGACGCTGGGGGGGTGGGACGCGGGTGGTAGGCGCTGACGGGCCCTGCCACGCGGTGACGAGAATTAACTCTGAGCGGTGGACGAGCTGCAGTCGTCCGGCGCGCCTTGGGGCACGGGGGCGGGGGGGAGGGGCCTGGGGCCGTGGGGTGACGGGCTGCTCTCCATGGGGAGCGCGGGAGTGCGCGAGGGCCGCCGGGACAGAGGAGGGGATGACCGGGCGGGGAGCGGGCCATCAGTTCGGGGGAGATTAGGGCGCGCGGGGCGTGAGAGGCTGGGGGCCGCACGAACGCGGCGGGTTGGGCGGCGGGGCGGCGGCGGGCGGGGGGGCGCGAGCTAGCGCGGGCGGGGGGGGGGGGTCGGCGGGACGGCAGCGGGTGGGCTAAAGGGGGGGGCGGAAGGGACGAAGGACGCCGGGGGGGGCGCGGTCCGTATGGCGGGCGGAGGAACGGGGGCTGGCGCGAGCGGCTGCGTGGGACGGACGCCGTGAGGGGGGGACCAGGTAGCGAGAGGGTGTCGCGGGGAGCACGGGCGGCGGGGGGGACGCCGGCGCCGAGTAGCGGGTGGGGTGGCTAGGACGTGCTCGCGCGGGCGAAGGGCGGGATCGGACACCGCGGGTGGCCGCCGGCTCGGGTTTCCGGGAAGAGCGAATCGCAGCGTGTACGCGTCAGGTTCGTCCTGAGCGGGCCCAGAACCCGATCGGCGTAGGGAGGCAGAGCTCGGGCGGCATTGCAGCGGCCTCGGGGTGGTACGGTCGGAATGCCACGTTGGGTACTGTGTTTGTGGGGTTCGAAAGAAGGGCGCGGGGGTGGACAATGTGCTTGGCCGGAGGGGCGCGCGCAGTGCGTGGGGGCGGGCGGCCGGCGGGGGGGCCGCGGGCGGCGGGGGGGTGGTGAGCCCCGCGCGTGTGCCATTCGGGACGTGGAGGAGCGGCTGCGCGACGCCGTTTTTTGGTGGGGCGTAACATGGGCACTCACTGGTGGCGTTGGGCGCGGGGGGAGGGGTAAAGGAGGCGAGGGCCGACGAGGTTGGTGGTGGAGATGTAGGCCTCTAGTGGGTGGGGGGGGAGCGGGGCCAGCAGCGGGCGTGGGAGGGGTAGACGGAGACGGCGTCAGCTGCGCGGGAGGATGAAGGGGCTCGGAGTGGTGGTCGCTAAACCCGGGGGGGGAGCTGGGCGGGGGTGGATGATAGCGGGGCGAGGAAAGGGGGCGCGGCGTCGTGGGGCGAGCAGGGGGGGGGAAGGGGACGAGGCGTGCGTGAGGGGGGCTGGGAGAGGCAAAGGGGCGGGGAGCGGAGATGCGGATGGGGAGCGGGAGGGATGAGGACGGGGGGGGAGAGGCGACGAAGGGCGGAACGGGGTCGGGCGTGGGCTGAGGGAGAGTGCGCGAGCCGGCCGAGGACAGGGGCGAAGGGTCGCTGACAGTGGCACTGGGGGAGCCCTAAAGGGGCACCGGGGCGGGACGGGGACGAGGGCGAGAGGGTGATGTGCCAGGCCGGCGAGGGGAGGGCCCGGAGGAGGGGGCGCGAGAGTCGGTAGTGGGACGGGGGCGCCGAAGGCGCGCGTAGCAGCAGGAGGGCGACCTAGGAGAGGGCGCGGCGAGGGGGGGCGCGGTGAGGGGCGGAGGGGATCGACGCGCAGGTCGGAGGAGGGCTCGGCCGAGCGCCGGGCACGGTGCCGGAGCGGGAGGAAGGGCCGCCGGCGCTAGCTGGAGGCGAGGAGGGCGCGCGCGGGCCAGGAGGCCGGAGCCCCTGGGGGCGGCGAAAGGGACCGGGGACAACCCGGATGGGCGCGCGGGGCCATTAGGAGGGGCGGAGGTGGGCAGGCGTAGGGCCCGGCGTTGGGGGCCAGCTCGAAGAGGCGGGAGAGTCTGAAGGTCCGGCCTGGGGGAGGACAGGTGCGGGGATCGGTAGGGCCTCTTGGGCAGTGGGCACAGGGCGCCGACGGCTTGCCCGGCTGCAGTGGGCGACGGCACGCGGTGGAGAGGTGCGGAGAGTGGGCGCGCGTGAGGCAAGGGGCCGCGGCGGGCAGGGTATGCTCCTGGGCTGCCCGTGGGGGGGGGGGGGGGGGTAATGGAGTCCGGCTGTTCTAGGCGTTTGGCCACGGCAAGTGGGGTAGGGCGATAGTGGGAGCGGCGCGCCGGGCGTCGGGGCGGCGGTGGTCCGGGCCCTGCGCGGGGTGGGTAGTGCAGCTGGGGGCGCACAGGTGAGGCGGGCAGGTTGTACGAGCGCAGCCCAGCGCGCCGGCGATTCGCGCCCGGTGCCGCCTCGCCCCGGATGCGCTCCCTGTTCGCATGGGTGCGACGGCGTTGCCGAAGCGCGTCCAGTAGCTCGGAAGGGGGTGAATGGCGCGGTGAATGCCCGCGCGTCTGCCTCTTGTCGGGTGGTCGGGGTGGTGCTACCGCAGAGGGGGGGTTTTCTGAGCTCGCGACCCGCCCGAGCGCGACGTCGGGCGGGGATGGCGGTGCCTTCGGGCTCGAAGGGGAGGCCGGAGGGCCGGCGGGTGAGGGGGTGAGGAACCGGCGCGGCGCGCGAGGCGGAGGCGGGTGGACGGACGGGGGTGCCCGGGAGACACGCGGGCGGGACGGGCGCCGCAGCGGCGGTGGGGCAGATGGAGGGACTGGGGGAGATAACCAGCGGGAGGCCCCAGGCAGGGGAAAGAGGCGCACTACGGGGGCCTGTCGGTCCCGCGCGTGAATCCTGGAGGAGAGTGCGGCGCACCGGTCCGAGGGAGTTGGGGCGGGAGGGGCCGAAGCGGGGCCGGAGCAGTTCGGTCCGCTAGTTGGCTCTGGCACCATGTCATCTAGGAGGGGACGGGAGGAGCTCCGGAGAAGGGGGGGCTGCAGCAGGGAGGGGGGGGGTCAAGTACACGCGAGCTGGCCGCCCCGCGACTGCCGAGGCGAGTGGTGGGTTAGAAGAGGCCTGTGGACGCGGCAGGGGAGCCGGAACAGGAGGGGGGGGAGTGCAAGCGGCTGGGAGGAAGTGGAACGCCGCGCGGCGGAGGTCTCTGGCCAGCGGGGGGGGCGAGGAGCGAAGAGGGGGGAGTGGGGCGAGGAGGTTGGGGGGAGGGAAAACGGCGGGCGGCCGGGGAAGGGAGGTGCACCGGAGCAGCTCGAGGGCGCGAGGGATCGTCTGGGGGGGTCAGAGTCGAACGGCCCTGCGCGGTGGGCGGGCGCGCAGCCCAGGGGGGCGGCGCGGGAGGTGGCCGGAGCGGGGGAAGCCGGGATGGCCCGGTCCTGATGAGGGGGGGGCGAGAGACGAGGGCGCGCGGCGGCGCAGGCGGCAGACGGAGGGGTGGGGCGGTGGGCCCGGCAACGGGGAGGAGGCACAGGGGGAGGAGGGGTGCGGTGCGAAGTGCGGGGGCGGAGTGGCGAGGAGGCGTGCGGGGGGGGTGCGCGAGAGGCAACACGCAGAGCGGGGGAAGGGGGGGGGTAGCAGGGAGGGGCGCGGCAGGGGGGGGGGGGCCCGGGGGATAGGAAGGAAGTTCGATGAGAGCGGGGACCACGGATGCGGCGACAGTGGTGCGGGGAACGGGACGGCGGTGGAGGTGAAGGGGGGAGGGAGGGCCTGCGAGAAGGGGAGGAGGAGCGAGCGTGGCGGAGGGCGCTAGCCGGGGGAGGGCGTGGGGGGGAGGGGCTGGACAGGGGGGCAAGACGGAGGGGTTACCAGGGAGGTTGCCGAGGAGGGGGAGGGCGGGAAGATACGCGCGTGGTAGCCGGAGGGGGGGAGGGAGGGCGGTCGGCCAGCGGAGGGCGGGGGGGGGCGGTGAAGGAGGGGCAGGAGGCGCAGGGCAGGCGGCGGTGCCGGACCTAGCACGGAGCGGCACCTGGGCTTGCGGGGGGGGGGGGGGGCGGGAGTCGCCGGAGGGGGGGGGAATGTAGTGGGTTTGCGGCGGGGGGCGCATTAGGGAGTAGGCTTGGTGGCCGCGGTGCACGGGGTAACAGGGGCGCGCGGGGGAGGCGGGCTGTAGAGGGGGGCCGCCGGGATGGTGGACGGCGCCGGCCAGAGAGCGAGGAACATCGAGGAGCGCAGGAGCATGCGCGCGCGGGGGCCGGGAAGTCTGGGGGAGGGGCGCAGGGTACAGCGGGAGAGCGGGGGTGGAGCGCGGAGTGAGGGCGAACATGAGGGCGAGTGCGCAGCCAGGCGGTCGCGTGTGCAGGAAGGCACGGGGTCGGCAGTTGGACGGGGGGGGGTCGAGGCGGGCGGCCCAGGGGCGTGAAGGGTGCCCGTACGAGAGGGAGGGGGGGGCAGAGGAGCGCGGGCGGGAGGGCATCGGGCCAGGCGCGTGGAGAGGGTAGGCGAGGGCCGCAGCACGCGGCGGGGGGCCGGGGGGAGGGGGCGGGAGCCGAAGGGCGGGAACGAGGGCGCTTGAGCGACGCGCCGGAGGCGGGCGCGCCCAGAGCGAGGAGGGGTATGTCGGGTATGGGGCGGGGCAGAACGCATCCGGGGGACGGGGGGACGTGGGTCAGCGGGATTGGTGTTCTACGGGGCCGGCGAATGCGTCCATCGCTGACGGGTGCTGGCAGCCCACCGCGCGGGCGGCTCCTGACGGGCGCGGATCGGCTAGAACGATAGAACGTGTTTCCACGTCCCTACGGCGCGGACGCGAGGGCCGGCGTGGGGAGATTGCGAGCGGACGGATCACGAGTCCGTTGAGGGTGGAGGGCGGATGGGGGTGAGTGGGGTGCGCACGTGGGGGAGCCCACGCGTTCGAGCGAGCCCTGGGGGAAGGGCCTCGCGACACGCACCCTGCGGCCGGCGGCCCTGACAGGTGGCACCGGGCGTCCCGATGCGCCGGCCAGCGGGCGGGGAGGTTGACGGGCCTGGCGGGCAGGTTGGCCTGTGCCGGGCGGCCATGGAGTGGGGGTGGGAGGTAGAGGCGCAGGCCGCAGTATGGCGCCGGCCTGAGCTTACGCGGGGGGGGCGGCGGTGTGGGGCTCGTGCCGTCGGCCGACAGCCGGAACGGGCAAGAGTGCCGTCGGTCTGCCCCCGGGGCGTGAGCGCCAGCCGTATCCGGATGGAGGACGATCCTGGGATCTCTGGATCGGGGAGGTGCTTCGGACGTCGGGTGCATCTCAGGTCTGACGACCCGCACTCCTCCAAAACGCGGCGGCTGACAATGGGTGCGGCGCGGAACCTTTCAGTGAGAGGCGTGCCGGCGGCGGGCCGGGGGGGGTGCGTCGAGCGGCGGGCGGTGCTGGTCCGGGACGGCCGGGAGTGCTGGGAGCGGCTGCCGCCGTCTGATGTGGTCGGGGAAAGGCGCGGAGAGAGGAGCAGCGGCGTGACCCAGAGACGCGGCGGGGAGGCATGTGGGGCTCCGCACGGGGGGGGCTGTAGGCGTGACGGCGGGGCGGACCGGGCGTCAAGAGGCGGATAAGAGGCTGGGAGCAAGAGGGGGGGGGCTGGCGCGCCAGGGCCACGGCGTGAAAGCGCGGATCTTCGGGGAGGGGGGACTTCCGAGTGGGCGCAGAGGGGGGGCAGAGTCGCCTATCGGCGAGGCACTGAGGGCCAGGCGTGGGGGACGGGGCGCGGGGGGGGTCGGGGGGAGGGCGAACAGTGGGGCGGGCAGAAACGGCGGGGGGGAACACGGGGAGCGAGCGCGGGGTTCGGGGCGGTGCAGGGCGGGGATAGAGCGGGGAGGAAGCGGTGGGCGGGAGGGCGCTCCAGGCGATTGAGGTGTTGGCCGCGCCACCCATGGAGCGGAGCGATGCCATTGGATTGACAGCCCGCACTACCGTAGGAGCGTCCCACGCGAGTATCTGAGTTGGGGGGGTGTGGCCGCCTTGGAGGCAGTGCGCGCCGAACGACGTGTTCACGCGGGGGCCGAAGAACGAGCGCCGGGGGGACGGGGAGGACGGAGACGGTCACGGAGTTAGCCGCCTGGTAAGGCCCGCGAGGGCCGAGAGCTCCGCGGGAGCCGGGGCCGGCTGGGAATCACGTGCGAGGTCTGCGTGCGTGAGTTGCCGGGGTGGGCCAAGCGGCCGGTTGTCCGCCGGTGTGGCAGGGAGGCGGCGGTTGGGCGGGGGCATGGCATTTGCGCCTGCCGACCGCGCGTGGGGGGGGCGGCCACTGCGGCGCGGTGGAGAGGACGCGGAAGTGCGGCGCGCGAGCGGGGATGCCCCCGCGCGCCGCCAGGGGGCCAGCAAGCGTTGGCCGGGGGGGCGGGGGGGATGCGGCAGGGGCGTGGTTGACCGCCGGGCGCCGGCATGGGGACGAGTGGGCGGAGCGCAGCGGACGAGGGGGCGGCGTGGACATCAGGGTGGGCGGGGAGGGAGCGGGCGGCGGCGGGTGCCCGGGGGCGTTAGGAGAGGGAGGATGCAGCCCGGGACGGTGGGCAGGTGGGGGGGTGGGGGGTTAAAGTAGGGGTAGGGGACGGGTGCGGGCAC